TTGTTTCAAGACATAAAACTTAACACTTTGATTTAAATAGAATATCTGTAATTCATAATTCAAATTATGATGTCACTATGCTGAGAGGCTATTTATAAACTTATTATTAACATAAACCCTGATGTTTTGTTCTCATTTGTGATCTATATTTACAGATTTTGAGTTTCAAAACTTATTACAATCTATTAGGAGTTTTCCAGAGACATTTTAATCTTCTTCAAGACCGACCATAAAGGTTTAATTTTACCTAGCTGCCACAATCTGTCTGAAATTTCTCCTTTAGATAGCTTTTCTATGTAGGAACAATCAGGAAGATTAATTCAAGTTAACTTTAAAAATGGATTAATTAGGCCAGATAAAAGTGTTGTGTGGGTGCTGATTCAAAATTAAATCAGCCTTGGTAAAAAATTCATCAATTCAATTTCACAATAGGTTACTCTAAATTAATTCAAGGCCACCTTAGTTCTTAATAAGTGACCACTTCAGCATTCAGCACTGTTTCTCCATGCTTTTTAAACATATATATCTTCTAATTGGATGGTATTCCTCCGTGTCTTCATTTAGACAGGCCTGATGAGATTCAGTCACCAAATATTTCTATAAAGTCAGTTTCAGAATAGCGGAATGACTAACACCAACTTGTTGGAAAGCCTGCATATACAGGCTTGGTCCTCACAATTCTACTGAACATGAAATGCTGACACATTCCTGCATATCCACAGAACTGAGGCTGTTCCAGATGAACACTTGCAAAAAGCAAGCTCATCCTGTTCTCGTGTTAAGTGCTTATACTGGAGTGTGATGAGCACCCTGGAAAATCTTACTCAAAGAGAATATCCTGCACAGACACAGGTCTTGTAAATGAATGAGAATAGATCTTATACAAAAAAATCTAAAACTTTTCAGAGTGTTGGTTCCTTCTAATTATTTTCTAGCCAGTGGCAGACTTTCTTATGTCCAGAAAACACATTAATATTAGTGATTTATTGCTGAATTCTGGTGAGGAGAAAAAAGAAAGATGAATCTCTCATATAAATTACGTCAAGGATGCTATTACTGTTTTCATTATTATTTTCAGAGACATAGCTGTTACAGTTAATGGTTCCTTCCTTAATCTCTATGTCTATTCTGAGAAAGGACATCACATCTTTTCTCCTCAGCATTTTCATTCTGCTTCTTTGATCTACTTGCATTCAAATGGTCAACTTTAGGAGTATTAGTCTATGCAGCTGAATTTCTGGGAGCAACTGCTGACAGAATACCAGAACCATCAAACATCTGAGACACAGACACTTTCTGGGTGGCAAGGAGACTAGAGAGTAGAGTATCTGCAGTTCATCACCTGTTTATAGATCAGAGCTACTTGTATTGCAGAGATGAAGGTCTTGCCTTCTCTTTTGAGCATCGTGCATTATTTTTCAAGTAATTCCAAACTTGTATTTTATATAACTGTACCAATGTTTGTGTTTAATGAAATTGACAAAACCTGCTACCTCAGAATAATGAAAAGGATAATATTTTATTACAAAGTCTTCCAGTTCTCAATAACCAAGTAAAAAATACAGTGGTCTCATTCTCTTTCAAAATAATTATTCATGGGAAAAATCTTACACATTGCATTGCTGACAAGTTTATATTCCCTTATCATTGAGGAAACATCCTTGATGATCTCTCAAATGGCTGTCATATCAAATCTCACATCAAATAAAACTTTCTGCTTTTGTAGATTTGGAAATCATTTTTGCTTTAGAAAATTTATTACAAGACAGAAAGTGCAAAGCAATAAACCAACCTCACAGTAATAAACCAGTCACCACATGCTTATACAGACGTGATGAGTTTGCCCATTGCAGTTGCTGAGGTTTTCATGGGATGATTATTATGTGCTATTGAATACATTTTGATAGTATGATGAAATGTTTGTCCTTTATGTTAGAAAATATTTGAGAATCTGTATTGTGTTTGAGAATCTTTTTCACTGCAGAAGCAGAGAAGAAGAGAAAAAAATCTAGTTGAATATTTTTCTTTCCACAAAAACGACTGCATAATGTGTTCATATAAACAGTGTTCCAACTCTGCTTAATGACAATTTTAGTTTTTGCAGAGGTACAACTTTGATTAAACAGTAAGTATAACAGTTCTCATGTCAAAGAAACTTTCAAACCTCTAATAATATGTGAGGGTAGATACCTCATAGAGGTAGATGCATTATGTAAGTCTATTTATGACACATCTGTTTACATGGAAGTTAGCATGACTGGTTTCTCGACCTTGAGAATAATCCATGCTTTTCTCCAATTAAAACACCTCAAATGTATGGATTAGTATCAATTTCATTATTTCTCATTGTCATGCTCTTGCAACACAGCCTTACTTTATTTCTGTCACAGTAGCACATCTGTGGGCTCAGATAACAGCATGGTAAAAACACTGACCTGTTCAGCTAACTGTATTATAAATGCAACATATGATGGTTCCAGAAGTTTTCAGCCAACAGGACATTTGGAAAGTAATTACAATAAATATAGTCAACTTTTGATCCATTTAGATTTTCATACTCTGATATTAGCTTTGAAACAAAGTAGGACTTATATAAGTGTACAGCTGTTCCTATAAAGGGTATGGCAGATAATCCTCACTAGAAAATTGAATTTGTACGCTACTTAAATTTCACCCCAAGAGGCAGAAACCTGTTTCTGTGTGCTTGCAAAGCATTTGTTATAAGATGCAAAATAAAAATGGAGTTGCAAAAATTCCCATTTCTTTGCTTTGGGTAAGTTTCCATCTTGGTACAACGCCAATTTTGACATTTAGAAGAGGAAAAAATTCTAGGTAATTGCAGATCTCCAGGGGAGAGAAATTTAGTTTGTACTGTACATAGCACTATTGTTTAAAAAAGATATAATGCTGCTTAAAATTCTGTTTAAAAGTAGAGCATTCTAAAATTGAAGCTATATACAGCTTTTTTAATTGGTTAATTTTTTTGTCTGATTGTTGTTTAATATAAGGGAAAGGTTGAAGGGGTTGGAGCAAATCTAAGAACATGTGAATCTCCTCTATTCAGCTTTTGAAGACTGAAAGAAGATTTACTATTTAAAGTTTTAGGTTAGCTCAGAATGTGTAAATCTTTTTCTACTTCCATTTATCAGAAAAAAAGTATTAGCATTCAATGAACTGGGGAAAAAGCACTGGCTTCATTCGCAAACAGAACAGGGAAAAGCTATCAAGTTTCAATTTAAGTATATATGACCCAGAATTTGGTCTCAACTTTTAAATTCTCAATTTGAACAAATACTAAAAGCCAACATTCATAAAGAGAAGTAACTTTGATATTCTTCTGGAAACCTTTCATCCACCATCTGAAAGCTAACTTATTCTTTTCAGTGGACAAAGAATAGTTTAAAAATACCAGTTATGAACAACTGATTGCACAGAGCTGCTTATGATCTGAGAACATCCAGTCAAGAATAATTGCACAATGATAACATACAATTAAATTAAACAGTCACAACAATTACTATAAATGAAAGCCACAGAAACAGTTTTTGAATGATGTAAACTTTGCAGGAGTGTGGTGTGCAGGAGAAAGTCCACTGAGAGACAGTTTTGAGTACATTCCTGTTTTATGTTAAATTTGGAATTTTGAGCCATAAGATAATTCTTTTCTCTCCTGGCAAAATCTTTGGTTTGACTTACTGGTTATATATTATGATTAGCACTACTTGATCTATAAAAATTCTATATTAATAAAATAGCAATAAATTTTTGCTAGCATAGATTCTACCTTCTCTATCTCTCCGTTAACAACATAATCAAGACAAATTAAAGTCTATATCTGACTCCTAATCTCTGTATTCCTGATTAAAGGAAAAAAGATGCAAAAACCCAAGCCATTCTATTATGTAAATGTAGTTTCCTTTGCAAAACAAGGTCTGTTCAGCCATGTGTGCAAATATTTTCATATAATATACATGATCACAAATTTATGCTTGATTTTAATATTTCATTTGTATTTTCTCTTACTTGATGCCAGATTGTTCGGTACTTGTTTTATACTTACCTATCTTTTGTATCATTCTGTGAATTAAAGTTTACACATATGGATAAATGGATATTCCTAAATCCATAGATACATATAACTACACATATATTATACATTCTATATCATGTATATTGAACTTTAAATCATTCAACTTATAATAAAAAGGTGAAAAAATCACATACAACAAAATAGTCTGGATGATCAGAAGTGAAGTTCTTTCCTCAGTAGTTTAAGACTACTAAGTTCCATTAGGAGGAACCATATTTATATTTAGTTCATATTTTCTGTGTAAGCCAGTTAGACCTCAGGTAAGAGTAAAGATTTTGATCCTTGTTTGTCATGAAATAGTGGAGTTCCACTGAAGTCACAGGGATTCATTTATACTAGTCAATAACCTGGAATATATTTATATTTTTGCTGTGAACTAGTGAAAATGTGAAAACACAATGGATGGAGATTTTCTTCTGAGATGCCCTACCTTTATGCAGCTTTTTTGCCAGAGGGGGATTGGGACAGAGTGTGATGGAAGACTATATTTATTAATGTGAAAGAAAAGAAATTGAATATGTTTCTCCCTATGTGGTTTTGTTACAGAAAAGATTTTCTATGAGGAGAATATGCTTGTTTTAAACACTGCATGTCAAATTAATTACAGACTACTTGCTTAATAAAGTAATCAGCTGCATATATTTTTAAAAGTTTAGGAAGGTGGTAAAGCAACACCGTTTCAGCAATTTATTCCTCACTGGAACAATATTCATGGATTTGATTTGCCTGGCTTGCCTCACATTTTGTACCTTAGACCTGAATTTGAAAAGAGAAAAGATTGCAAATGTGATCTCCCTTACAGAAAACAAACAAACAAACAAACAAAAACCTAACGAACCAAACAAAAATAAACAATAAACCACAGCCTTCTTGAAAGGAAATTCCTTTATAATAAAGGAAAATCATGTACCTGATGTCAGGTTTTGATGTCGTGGAGCTTCTTTTGCTGGTGGGGCATCTAAAGGACAAAATTATGATAATAAATTAATCTCAATTTTCTGGTCAAAATACTGAAATAAATTTCAGTCAGAAACATGTTGGTTTCTTGGAATCAAATCTCAGATGAGAATTTCTATAAACCAGATTTTTTTTAAGTGTGGCTCTCCTAATAAATTATTTAAACATAGAAATTTTATGTCCAGTGAAACCACGAAAGCAAACTGCTTCTAGATATTAGTTTAGTACACTTGCACCAGTACAACTAACTGTTATCCTTTGAGGGTCAGGACTTCAATTTTATATGTAACTGACTGTATTTAACCAATGTAGGGAAGATATTTGTGTCTTCAATCACTTCCTTAATAAAATAGTGTAATTTATTACTATTAATTATCTTCAGTGGTATAGCAGAAACCATTTCTCCATTTGTATATTACTGTGGGGAAAAAAAACAAGCAACAAGCTAGTGCTGTGTCTAACAGAATGCAGGTGATCACAAAGTCTGTCTTATGTATAAAAAAAGCTTCTTATCAGTGTAGTTATTCTACAGTATGAAGCTGGTGACCTAAGGCATCACCCAAGCTATGGGGACGAACTTTGTACTACGTCAGTAGGGAGCATAACATCAGACACAGTGAGGGCTGCTAATCCTGCAGCTGCAGTGCTGGAGAACCCTGCAGAGAGGATAATTCTGTGCCAGCCAGGGAGGGTCACGGGCAGGGCACCGCTGCAGCCAGATTGGATGTGCTGATGTAATCCTTGATACTCGTATGCAAAGGAGCCACCAGGCATTCAATTACTGGAGATTTATGTACAATATCATCATTTTGGTTTACTTGGACATATGTAGAAAGACTAACAAAGCTCCTTTTTCCAACCCCATAAAAACCCCCAAAACCTAATGTTTGCATTTTTATTGCTGTTTACAAAGATACTCATGCCTTTGTTACCTTTATTTTTTTCATTTTTCAGCTGTTTCTTCTCAGTTGGTTTTTCTAGCAAGGAAAAAGTAGCACAGTTCAAGTTTGGTAAGCTGACTGCTGAATAGATTATTACCTAGAATTATCTAGTAATATTCGTTGAAAATTAACACAGATATTTTAGGGGTTGTTTCAAACAACAATACATGCAAATTCGCAATCTCGTGTTATTTTTATTGTTATTTTCTATATATATATGCACACACAGAGTAAATTCCTACCTTCTTTTTCCTTAGTTGTCTTTGGTTTTGGTTTTTTTGTAACTAGAGAGATTTGCAAAGAAATAAAATTACGTGACAGGCATCAGAAATACAGGGCTCTTACAATAAGTATATTGCACAAAGATTCTCTCCCTTGTAATTTCCCTGGAAGAATTACAGTGGCAAATGTGTCTCATGGCACATATACAATGTCTCTAATACTATAACAGTGGCTGCTACCCTTAGTGGCAGCAGCAGTTCTGGGCTTTATGTAGAGTTGTTGGAAATTGTTTGAATATTGCTGGTTGCAGAGTAGTTTAGAAAATCCTGATAAAGACTTTAGGCACTTGAATTCTGTAATTCCCTAACTACTGCCAGATTTCCCTAATTATCTGTTGCCGAAATGCACCAGGGAAGGATCCCTCTGCCTATTGCTCGTTTCTTACTCCCTTTCCCAGAGCAATCTCAATCATCTGAAAAAATTAAACAAACAGAACATCCCAGGATATGGAGCTAGATGGACCTTTAAAACTGCCAAATGTGACTATTCAGAAGTCCTGCAGCAACAGACTGTAATTTATTTTATTTATGGGGTTTTTTTCCCCCCCAATTGTCCATTCACTTAGAGTATGTGCTTTTTTTTCTTTTCAGCATCCTTTTCCCCAGCCTGCAAACACATTTGGTCTTTGATTCCATTCAAAAGGGCAGATTGAAATTAAGTAAAGTGTATTGCTTCAGGCATCTGAGTCCATTTCAGTATTCCCTCTTGACTACAGCAGAAAAGTAGCAGGCTGCTTTCAAATTGTTTGTTCATTTGCACTTTGTATCATCCAACCAGCTGTGATAATGCTTTCCTCCAAGTCTTCTGGTGCATATGTTATCTGATTAACACTAGCTTGCTCAGTGAGGATCACCTGTGTCCAGCTCACCAAGATGTGCTGCAGAAGATGAACAGTGAAAATCACGTGATCAGCCAATAAAATCAGTCTGTGGCAGAGAACTGCGTAGCAGCAATGCTGTCAGTTCACCCATGCTGCTTTACAATATCATTGTTTGTTGTTGATGAGCAGTGTGCATTAATCAGCACTGGTTTGGTCATTAATTCTTTCCATAAGGCATAGTAGAGAAATGTAATATTTACCTGCTGTTGGGATTTCGGCTGTTGGCTCTTTGGGAAAATGATCAGTGATGAAGAGGAAGAGGGAAGGGAAGGAAAAGAATAAGAGGTTGAGTACCGTGTCTTTTCAGGGCAAACAACAATTTATATAGATCTTCTCTTTCATCTGCAACTTTTCTTCAGGATATTAATTTACAAAGAAATGTGCCTTAACAATGGGTGCGTAAGTAGTTTCATACCCAAAAGCTAACAGTCTTACTCTCTGAAGTACTATAATCCAACATGCAATGGTTCCTGCAAATGTAAACATTGTGCCAATCAAAGCCGTCCAGCAAACAAGTATTTAAATAGACTTAGTTTTAAATGTGCCTTCAAGGTTACAGAGAACTACGCTATTTTCTGAAAAATTTATTCACTTTAAATGTTACCCCTCTTATCATCCACACATTCCAACGAAAACCTGTTACTGACCTTGGATAGCTGGCATTCACCCCTGTGTGTTTCTCCCACATTAGTGGTTTACCTTGCCATTTAAGAGTAAAATCTCTTGGGAGTTGGAAAGATTTTGACTACATCTTTCTACAGCACCTAGCACAAGAGAAGCACATATTCTTGTGCTATTATAATACCCATAATAGTGAATGGAAATTTGTCAATTCAATGGAATAGAAATTCTCTTGTGTAAACCATCATGGCTCTTTTTAAATCAAAGCAATGAATTAAATCTAGATTTTGAATCTAAGAATTTTTTACCCATCACTATTTATATTAGTCCCAGTTTTATTTTAAAATACCATTTGAAGGAAGAAGAATAACCTCACTATCCAAGCAAACCTTTGTTCCCTGAACCTGGAGTTGGACAAAGAGAATAAGCTCACAAAACATTTCAAGGTATCTTTTGATTGAATGATCTCTGTATTTTCCTCCTGCTGAGTTTTGGCTTCAGATGAACATGAGGTTCTACAGCTCACACCAAGGTGAAAATGCCTCAGTCAATGCTTTTTCAAGGGGAAGACTGAGTAATTAAACATGATTTTCACTAACATACCCCAGGAAACTTTCATTCAAGTCTTGGTTCTTAAGGAGACCCATAAATGTTAGTGCTCAATGCTTAGGCATCACAGGCATTCAGCGAAGGCCAGTTTTGCTGCTATTAAATACTAACATGGTAAAATCCTTTTAATATTTACATTTTTGCTGTTGCTATGTTCATAGCTGCTGAAAGATGATACAGTACTGCACTGTGACCCTTGGAATAATTAATCCTTTTTCTTATTTTCAGAACAAAAAAACAAGATTTGTCTGAGGTACTAAATCTGGGAAAGGGTTTCATGCTCTCACTCCTTAATTGAGGGATTATCTTTCTGAAGGATCTGGATGGGTCCAGTTGTCTGCATGTATCCTAATTTAGGATTAATGGCTGATTTCCTTAGACAGTGAGGTACTGGAAAACTGTTGACCTCAACGGTAGTCAGTTTGACCCTCTGGTCTATGAAATGTAAGGGTCATTTTCTCTTCTCAGTGCATCAACAAACTTCCACTTGCTCTGGGGACCTTGAGAAACATATTACCCCTATCATGGGACTTTCATTATAGAACTAAATGGGAATATAGTTTGGCCAATTTTTAGTTTTTCCTCTTAAAATATCCAGCCTACATGTTCTTCCTCTTGATTTCAAACTTCAGTTTGGTATTCTGGCATGTGTAAGATTTGCCATCAGCTTTGTCTTCTGTTCAAGGTAATGTCTCATAATTTGTGAGTCTTTACTCAATATCTAGGGAGTAAATTCTGTTTCGTTACACTCTCTTGTACATTAAAAACAGAAATAATGAAAAATAAGATAGTTTGTCAATTGCTTTTAAAATTTAGTGAGTGGCTGGTGTTTAGCTGCCTGCCTGGTTAGACCATGGCAGGAGGCTACTGCTATAAAAAATGTATGTATTGTTAATTTGGGTGCTCAACCTTGTCTTTCTGTCTATATGTGTGTTCACTTAATGATCCAATCATTCTACTGTTTTAAATCCCATTTGCTTTACAGTAAGACTGCACAGGATACAGTATGGGAATAAATTCAGCCCAGGATAAATGCATGAATTTATTTTACATTCCTACTAGACCTGAACTGCAAAATCAGTGAGTATTTTATGTCCAATACTACATTTCGTAGTGAATTACGTGATAGCTATGTTCATGTTATGGCAAGTATACAGTACACCTGGTTAAGAAATAGGTGAAGCAAAACTATATAGAGCCCTGGAAATAAAAAGGGCAGTGATCCAACTAAGTGTACTTCTGTAAGTGTAGAAAATAATTTTAAAATAGATAGCTCTGGTGTTTAAAATCCTAAACTAGATCTATTCAAGGATGGTTAAGTCAAAATAGGCAGTGTATAGAGAATCACTTTTGTATATGACTATAGGTCTGCTTGTTACTGTTTTTAATTCTTTTTCTTTTTCTAAAGGCACTGTTAACCTTTATAATCATTTCAAGCAGCCAGATACAAGCTCAAGAATGTGGTTTAAATACCCCTCTGAAAAGGTCAAGGGAAAATATCTTGGCTATTCCTTATATTCACAATATGCCAAGGTAATGTAGTATCTCTCTTGATAAAAAAGCATTGTAGACAGTGATTTTGGGTTAAAGTGACCCTCATTGAAGAAAGCACTGAGGAATTAGTCACTTAAGTCTCTGATGGTTCTCTCACAATAGTGAGTGCCATCACTGGGTCTTCTCAGATAAATCCATGCAGAAGACATTAAATGTCAGTGAACAGATCCAGCGAAAACAAGACTGAACAAACCTGAACAATGGAATCAAAAAGAGGAAATTTTTCTTAAAATACTGCCAAAACTGGAAATGAACCCATGAATAGCTTCAGAGGAAGTAATAATTTTGCAATGATAACTCAAAAACTGCAATTCAGTATTACAGAAAATCCTTCAGTGTTGGTACATTTCAGATGCTTTGTATTCACACTTTCCCTTTGGAGCTGGGGTTGAAAATAGTACTGTGTCTTCCTACAGGTGTTTAAGAGCAGGTATTTATCTTTAACTTTAAGCAGCTAATATAGGCGACTAATTTAGGAAGTTTAATGGAATCAGTTTTCCTTGCCTTGTTGTCAGCTTCTGACCCCGACCAGGAAGAGATCAGTGCCTCATAGGGCTTGGTCTTGGGTTCAGATACACTTCACAGATTACTTTGCAGAATAACATATGGTTTGGTCTTGATGTGCCGGGCACAGTACAAAAAAAGAAAAGACAGATCCTGTGCTAAAGAGGCTACAGCTAATCCATCTGTGAAGGTCCATACCTCAATATTTTCACAATTCAAAGCATGCAGTGTAAGCACTGTCCTTCCGATTCTTGTCTGACCATGATTTGCAGTATGTAATGTGTAATGACTTGCCACAGTAAGAATAGATCCCAGTCTTTATCTGTTCAGAAGTCTTAGTGACATTAAAAACAACATTATCCAATGGCTTCAGTGGAAGTATTTGTAATATGAGAAATTCCCCTTGAATCCTCCTTAAAACTCATCTAAATTTGAAATATTACTTTCTCTTCTTTAATTTAATTTAAGGTTTTTATTAAAGTAGGAAAACAATCTTGTATTGAAACAAGTCCAACAACGTGCTTAGTGAATTAATGGTATAAGTAATTTCAAAATGGTAAAAGAAGTAAAGAAAAGGCTGTCTAATTCAGTTATGCTACATGCCATTTTCAGTAAACAATATATTTGCATAAAGATAAATCATGCATTTAAACTCATCTAAAATCACCAGAACATCAATTTTGCTACCAGCGTAATTTATTTTATAAGAAGCAAAAATTGCAAAAGTAGTTTGAATGTTGCAGCTTCCAAATATTACAATATAAATGTACTTAGTTTTGTCCTGTTAAGCTGCTAGTAAGCAGGCAGAATACAAGAGTATCTGTAGTATAAGCAAGAAACATTATCTAATATGACAAAATTACAAAAATGCAAATTGAGGCAACATGCATCTGAAAAGAAGGTTTATAGTCTGTAAGAAACAAGACATGATACATACTTGCAGAGGTTTTTGGTTTGACTGGGAAGTAAAAAGAGCAAAGAAAAGTGGTCAGAGTAGTCAGGTTCAGCATAGTATTGTTATAGCAGAGAATGGCTTTATTTGTTCTATATGATTCCTGCGTATCAAAAGAATTTTTAATAATATCACAGTAATTAATAACAATCTAATAATGAATAATAGTAGTAGCAATGTTTTCATCTAGAGATGATAATAGTTTTGCTAGAGTTAAAGATGAATAATAATAAAAATAAGAATTTTAATTCTTCACTTATTTTCTTCCATTGGAGAAGCATGGAGCAGACATTTCTTAAACCCACAATGATTGCTATACAGAGAAACTGAACAATGCTCTTCCTAACCCACCAGCAATTTCTCTCTGTCTTGTATAAGTGAGGCTGTGCATGAGCTATGATATGCAGAGACATTTACCATAGATGATGGATAGTGCCAGATCATGATCTGAATAAACTATCGTATAATACCTGCTATGGATAAAAATTAAACTATTCCTCATCCTGGCAAGTTAACTCATACAGGAAGACTGTGAAGTCCAAATAAATAGCAGATACCCACAAATAATTAGCAAAATGAAGCCATTTAAAGTAAGCAATTTCAGAAAATGGTTCAAATTCCTTGCTGGCATATGCCTTTGACATCAATGGAATTACAAAAGCAGAAATTTGACCTTTGATATACACATATGTCTATATCTTAAAATGACAACCCACATTGTAAATGAGCACTGTGCTATCTTAGTTACGGTAAGGCATGTCAAGGCCTTTCTATACAGCAAAATAGATCACAGGGCCATGACTTTGACATTTGTCATATAAAATTGTATTTCACTATTTCTTTAAATAACATTTTCAAAAGTAATGAATACATAAAATGTCCTCACCTGGTTTTGTTCGTGGAACATCTTTTTGTTGTCTGACTGCTCCATGCTCTAGATGGAAGAAACAGCATAATAAAATCACTGTTATGTTTCTAAGTTACATTTTGTATGGATGTTTTGGCGTTTCTTTTTCTGATTGGTTGGGGTTTTGTGTTGTTTCTGATTTTTTTTGTTTTAACTAAGAAGGATTGCATGTATATTTTTCGGGATTAAACATTCATTTTCTCTTGTTTCATGCTGTTATTTTGAAAAAGAAAACAAACACATGGGTGGTTATTTACAAATTATCCACTCAGGGATCTGTCACAAAATAACAAAATTCATTAGTACTGTACATAGCTATAACTACAATTCCTCTGAGAGTTATGCATGTATCTTAAGGAAAAAGTCAGTTAGCAGGGTCTCCTCTCAATTTTTGAAGTGTAATTTGTATCTACTTTCCAGTTTTATTATTTCAAAGAAGAGCATAGAGCAAACTCAGCAACTATTTTCTCAGCCTTTATGTTGTTGATTCAAATATGCTTGAGCTAAATTCCCAAATTCCTAGACATGTACTATTCCAGATGAATACATTATATTTAGCTGTGATAAATGCATCTCATCTTCCCCCCTCCCCCCTCTTCTATTTCATAATTATTACTGGAAAAAATTATAATTAATGTTGCTTTGAGAAAACCCCACCCCACAGATCTCATAGTGTAGTAGCAGCTCTGCAATGCAAATGGGCCACAATGCATCTCAGGGCTGAGGGATCAATGGACAGCTCTGCTGGCCTTGTTTCCAGGTGATGTTTCTCACACCTAGAGGACTGTGCATCAGTTTCCTTTCGAGCAATGAGGACCCTAAAGTGGGCTGCAAAGTGGAAAGTGTTGAAAATGTGAATGGCCTCTGAAAAAGATCCATATGCCTTTCTGCTACTTGGATGAATAATTGAACTCCTAGTAACTGTGATTTCAGGTGAAAATACTTGTCAAGAAATACCAAGATGAACACATGATAGGGAATTTCAAATGGGAACCAGTTTTATGAGGTGTGAATGAAAACCAGTGTCAGTGAAGACTGATATTATTCCGATATCTGGACTTTTTTTATTATGAAATTGTTTAGGGAAGTAATTTTTTTAAGTTTACTTTGGATTCTAAAGGTATGAAAGACATAATAAAACAACAAGCAGGGTGTGTGGTAAGTTAAGATATGGACTCTTTCTTGAGCACTGAGAAGAATTCAGGATGCAATTATATTAAAATAGTTTATCTTTTTCTTTTTTTTTTTTTTAAATGAGCAGGTGCATTTATTCAATGCAAATATTTGTTAGTAGCAATTTTTTAAAAACTTGTAAATCCTGTATTAATTTTTATTCTAGAGAATTGTGATTAGAACAAGTTGACTCCTGTACTGAAGCAATTGCTTATGTCAAATTGACTTTTAAATAGCAATGACAAGACAGTATTTTAAATGAAAAAAATGGAAGGCATGGTGATAAAGGCATTATAATTTTAGCAAAAGTAGAAATTGCCAAGGGAGGGTTTCTTTATGAAAAATAATAATAATAAAAAAAAAAGACACACATATCTAGCTATTTTACAGGAATTTTTCTGATCAAGGTAGGAATAACATACCTGCTGGCTTTGCCTGGACTACAGAAGACAAAAAAAGTTAAATTGTAGTATTTAGATAGATACAAAGAGTAGAGAAAATACTCTTTTTTTTTACCTTTCTTTTTAACATTCAAATATTTTATGGTACTGAGTTCTTACTTGTTCTTAGCTTCCCCTACTTGTGTAAAGATGCACAGTATTAAACTGATAAAGTTAAGGTAGGCTAACATGTTTAGATTTTTGCAGCTCCCACTAGTTATCACCTCCTGCTGATAATGCATTATCCTGTCACTTAGCACTGTAACATATTTATGCATTCCAGGATTGTTTCTCCCTGTGTCATGGCATAAATCAGAAGTAGTTTCAGATTAGTCAACAGATGACTGGAAATTTTACTTAAGATTCATCAGATTTGCAAGATCAAGAGCACATCAAGTCTACATAGTTAGTCAGAGGAGTACTAACCATCTCCAGAGGTTAACTAACTCATGTAATTATAAAATATTTATTAAAGAAAGATGGGATGACTTTCCTACTGTTTTAAGTTGCCTGTTTCAAGCTCAACAGGTATTGATCTAAAAACTTACAATTATTTCTGTACTAACTTATGTTAAGTTGGTCAAACTGAAATGTTGCAATTTCAGTTTGGTTCCAACAAATAGGAAAAAGACACGGTAATCACATGACTTGAACACATCTTCCAAAAAGCAAAGTCATGATATTTCTCTCAGTTTTGTTTCCAAACACTTGAACTTTTTAATTTTTGGTCACAATCTAAGAGAGAAAGTTAGATGACCATAAAAACAAAATTGGGAATTAAGATATGAAAATCCTGTAAATTCAAAAATGTAATTTCTTCCTTCTTGAAACTTGTTTACCTATTAGTAATCCCTAACTCATTAACTATTCAGGTTAGAAATATACTGAAGTATTTGTCAGTAATTTCTCCAGTTAGTATTAAAAGAAACATAATTTATGTGGTTTTGAAAAATCTACAGCAGTTTATAATCATATACAAGCTATCAAACCAGTACTTTTATTGGACAATCAGAGTGCTTTAAAACATAATTTCATAGTAAAATGATAGACTATCATAAGAGGTTTTATAGATAGGAATATGAGCCCACAAATTTTATGAATGTACACCATTAGAGATAGAGCCATTATTATGGCTCTGTACAATATCTATTCTGCTACTGCAAAGAAGAAAAGACATATACAAAACAAGAACAGAAATTATCACCATATCAAATGAAAATCCATTGTTGACGTCATCGTCCAAGATTTGGCAATCTTTCATTTTACGTTTGGATCAAGGCTACCCCCAGTAGAAATCAAGAGGTTATGAAAAATCCTTCAAAACAGCTTTGTGTTGACTGCTAATGATGATGAGAATGCTCTAATTCCTCGGCTGACTCTTCACAGCTGCTATAGCAGTCAATATTACTTGATTTTTCTTTTTCTGCCAGCATTACATTACAGAACTTACAAGGTCTAAATCGTAGAAAAGCCTCAAAGATTTAGACTTTACTTCCAAAATCATTTTCCTCATGAAATAGCCAGTTTAAGACTGATCCAAGTTCCTAATCCAACTGAAGATTCATCTTCATATTTGAGATCATTTCAGACGTCTGATTTACAGCTGTACCCCAGTTCATTAGCCCAGCTCTGGCAAAGAGGCTGGAACAAGCAGCTCAGGGGCTGAGAGGCCTTGACTTGTCTTCATCATTGGAAAGACTTTTCCTAAAATGGTATCTGCAACTGCCACTTTGCTAGTTTTGCTCTAAGAAATATTTCAAAATACTGTAAAAAATGATTGCAATGAAAATATACTACATTAGATGAGTGCTGAATAGCGTTTAACACTCCTCACCCCCCTCCATAAATCAGGAGAGAAGGACTTATTCTTACCTGATTTCACAGTGGGAGTTGCCTTCTGTTGTTTAATTTTCTCCTCTGTATTGTGAAAGTAGCATTAAAATCACAGTGTGTTAGCATAGGTGAATACAATTGGAAAAATATTTCTATAGGTAATATTGTGCATATGGTTCACAATGACAAAATAAATGCATGTTTTTAGCATCACTATCCCATTGTAGCACTATAAAACAGCATGCATGCATTATGAGTTCTGACTGCATGGTGAGATCATACTCCATGGAAAAATTAAATTATTGGCCCTAATGACTCAGCTGCCAGAAAACAGCCACATACCTTTTAGTTCTTTCAGGCAGGCACTCAGGTGGAAACTATTCTATTAATGCATCTATTATAGCTTTGAGAACATTATCTTCCTAAGTGTCTAAGTTCAACAATTTGGTATTATACAACACTAAGAACTTCTGCTTAGATGCTACCTAATGACAAACATGAATGGAGCTATCCACATGCATCTACTCTCTGAAGATGAAGGAGGTATGGAGACTCCCAAGCACAAGCTAACTCACAGAGGGACATGTGGGACAGTCTGAATGACAGTTCATACCACCTGCTACTGGATAAGATTGCTTAGATCCAGCTGGATATCTGTCACAAAACCTCAGAGCAGCCCTGAACTTCTGCTAATCTCACGGGAAAAGCTGCCAAGTTCACATGCCCTTCAGCTCATGTAGCTTTACTCAGCACAATTCTCAGATGATGTGGACCCACGCCAATATCAGCCACCAGACTTGAGCTGCCTCTTCTCCAAGTAAGATGGTGGATAAAACTTCAAGCAGAGGCATAGGTGGGACTACCCTTTCTAATTAGGTGGAGTTTGTCTTACCTACCCAATGCTCACATCAGGTGGAAATTTGGATGTTTATTTTCTGATTTGTAGTCTGCTCAGTTTGTTTGATTTAAACTTCACCCTACCAGATCCTTTTTATAACTCTACTCCATTTTATCTCTTTTTCCATAACTGAATTCAAGGCTCTCTCCTAACTGCCACTTTTTAACATTAACATACATCACCAAATTATTCTTAAATATGCTTAAGAAACATTCAGACCATATTTCCCCTTCCTCTTGATGAAAGTAGTTTGCAGCCACATGCCTCTGACCCCTTCCTTTTCCCTAAGACTTCTGCAAGACATCAAATTGAAGCTGACAATGGCTGGGTGGAGGTCAGGTTGGGCAGGTATATTTTCCTCCAAAGTCATTTGACTAGTCTGAGTACTATTTGTCTAGAAATCCTAATGTGTAATGTATCTGCATGCACAAAGCTGTTTGACCCCTGACTGTGACCAGTGTTTCCAGACTGGCAGTCAAACTTGTTCTTAAATGAGGTCATGGAGGGAGGTACTAGAAAAGAGATGGGTGGCTAGAGCCACTCATGGATTGTCAGAGCCTTGTTTAACCCATCACTATACCTGTGTACCCTCAAATAGTCAACCTCAAGGACTATTCCTTTGTAGGTGCTATTTCTCTGGAACCCAAAAGTCCAAGTTCGGCAGCTAAATCCTCTGACTAAAGACGTGGGTAGTACAGTAATTAGAATTAGTAATTAGAAGAGCAGACTGTTGAGTGATCTCAATATACATGATGTTTCCTTTAAATTTAGCATGTAACTTTCAGAGAATTTTTCTTTCTGAAGGTTGAGAAAAGATTTATCTTCTCTGCTGTGCTGATTTCTTTTTAACTTGGGTCTCTGAGACTCTCGAAGGTGTAGCATTGCCAAAGAGTCCTTAAGAGTTTCAATGCAAATATGGTCATGAAACATAAAGCAATGGGGGTTTGTTTGTTTGTTTGTTTGTTTTTTTTTTTTTTTGGTTCTGTTTCTGGAAGAAATCGGAAATCGGTACTGATGGGGTCAAATACAGGGAGGGATATAGCACCATGGTTACCAATCTTTTCTCCTATTTGGAAATTAAATATAACCCTGCATTGCTATGCTTTTCAGTTGTCATTTGGTAGGTGGGGATTTAATTTCTCTTAACTTGTTTAAATTTTAGGGCTTTATTCTCCCCCTTACTCAGCTATTGTTATTGTCAGCTTCTTATGAAAGCAGTGAATTAAAAAATCTCATCTCCATATTAGAGATGTCTGTGAAGCTAGAAATGTCTTTACTATACAACCAGCAGCTTGATGCAGCTCATTGAGAGAAAGTGTCTTTTTTCTGCTGTTAGAAAAGTTTTACCATATAACAGTACACTTCACTACTTTAGATCAGGATATTAAGCTTTTGAGGTACCAATACAGAAATAAACCCAGCATGCTGACTTTAAACATAGGACCTGTAACATGCATTGGATTAATGACCTGCAAAAATCAAAAGGCTTTTTTTTCTTTGGATATTACCCCAACCCTTTTGAACACCAAATAAGGTATTTTTCTAATTCTGTAGAGAATTTACAGCAATGTTTGCTCTGTAAATCTAAGATAATAAGTCTGTGAGAAAATAAGTAAGGAAATAAGTCTTTGACTGGATGGTACATCTGATCCATTTAAAATTAGGGGAGGTATTTCTTCTCAAAATCAATTTATTGTTGAAAACAGAGTGTCTTGGACAGGCCTGTGAATTTGTATTCATCTGGGAATAAATACAGTAATTCTTTTGTATTCACTCAGCTACCTATTCTGCAATCTAACCACACAGCAAGTATTGATCTATTGATTATGTTGGAGAACACCCTGACACATTCCCTGGCAGATTTCCAGGTGATGACTGGATGGCTTTTTCTCTGAGTTTCTAGCCATTGGTTGCAGCCTAAAGGAAAACTGAGGGATTAGATTATCCTGACTTAAGCAGAACAGTTTCTATAGGGGAATACACTTCAAGACGTCAGGAAGCTTCACAAAATCATTCTTTTCACCAGATTCAGTATGAAAAAAAGCAGTGAAAAAATTATGATGAGGATAATGCATATTATTTTGCTAAGAACATGTAATATTTCTAACTTCTCATGCACATTTTGTTTACTATATCATGAGTCTAAAAAAAAATAAAAATTAAACTATTTTGATAACCTCATGAAGATGCAAAAAGTCCAAAATAAATTTTGTGAATATCTAAATAAAAATCTGATTTGTTTTTTGATTTTGAGTAACCCAAAAGTTTAAAATTCTGAAATCTTTCATTGGAGTGAATTTATTTCCTTTGCAGAGCTCCAGTTTTGAAGCACTACAACCTTTAATATTATTTTTTCCTGATATATCTAATGTAAATGGAAAAACATAAATCTGTAAACATTTCTTTGTGTATTGCTGGCAGTTTCAGCAGAATTACCTCAGGAATGAATTTTCTTTCTTTACTTGCTTTCACTGACATACACAAAACACTCTTTAATTTAAACATTTCCCTACAGGGTCAATATATTTTTCAAATTCTCTAGTACCTCAGCCATGTGATACTTCTAAGTCTGATGACAGGTGGCATAGGAATAATAGTTTGAAGCTGCTCTGAATCAAGGTGAAAAAGGAGGCCACTGCTTTGTATAAAATAAAGCTTTTATAATTCAAGTTGCTAACTCAAGAGCACTCATTGGCACACAGCGGGCAGAAGCACTATCACCACCAGTGCTTGCAGATTAATGCTTCCAGTCATCAACTGAAACTCAAAACAGCCACTGTTCTCCAAAGCAACCATTAATCACCTGAGAATAGGTCTTTTATGTTAAAGGAAATTTGGCAAGGGTTTTTTTTTCCTTCAAGCACTTAAATTCCTAGGGTTTGAGTCTAGAATATACTGTACTATACTAGAATAAGCTCCTAATCAGTCCAACACACTGGTTTGTGACATGATGCTCTCATGTTTGAGACTGTCTCACCAAGTAAATTTATTTTTTCTGCTGCTATATGGATGAGATTGGGCTGATTATGAAGTAGGACTAATTTCATTGAGCAGGAAAGGTCATGACACCTGTCCAGGTAACACAGTTTTTGGCTGCCACTATGGCACCAAGTGTGGCTTCCTCACTAGGACATTCCTGCCTTGGCTGAGTCCACCTACACCGCATGCTGGCTGAAGCATTCTGGTAGCTTTTAATACACAAAAAACGATCAACAAGCTAAATCTAAAGCTTGGCCTATGTCTCTTTGAAGGATGAACTGAGAAACATTGTCCCCCTATTGACTCAGAATCAATACATCTTTACTAAATCAGCTACTCAAGGATTGCAGGAAATCTCAAGAGGTCTATGGAAATACTTACAAGGTAGAATATTTTATTATAGAAGTGAATGAGAAAAATGTTAAATGCACAGGAGAAATTACTTTCTTTCAAAAAAAAAATTCAGGAAAAGAAAGTAGCAAGAAAAAGCCTGCCTGCTTATCACTGAAAATGTAAGGGTTTAAATGGTGTATCCAATCACTTGTTCGTGAGCGCTTCATTTCAATGTGAAGTTCAAGCAGCAGCACTCTACTAACAAAAGTCAGCGGTGTGTTGGCACTTGTTTTCCAGTCCCTGCAAAAAAATCTGTGCCTAGCTCAAGGAAGTCTCCAAGTTTTTCAGATTATGCATATCCTTATTAAGTGGAGCTGGGAGTAACTGGAAACTAAATTACCAGACCTACCTGGCTTAGGCTGAGAGATAGCTTTTTCATGTTTGACATGTTCATGCTCTGCAAATCAGAAATCCTAAATTAGAAGGCTTTTTAATTTTTAGAAGATTTTAAAAATAAAAGATTCTCATTATAATTTTAAAAGATGACTTCATTACACATTCACATGAGACTCGAGAAGAATTTTTTGATAGATATATTTCTCAAGAAAAAGTATTTAATCATTAATTTTTTCCCTAAAAAATTAAAATAATGAAAAGATATTTTTAAACTTTTTAATGGTGTTTAAGAAATCACAACATTATTTTCTGAGGATATTTCTAAAATTCTGAAATGGTTCTACTATTAAGGTTGATTGCTATAGCTGATCTTCTATACAGAAAATTTTTCCTTGATGTATAATATAGAAATCATGGAAGTACTTTATTACAACAGAAGTGGGGTTGTCTCATATAGAATGACAAATAAGTGTTCAGTATCCTACTAAATTAAAAATTAGTTTTCCATGTTTTTCTGTGCCCTGGATTTGACTGGGATGGAGTTACTTTTCTTCACAGTAGCTAGTAGAGGGATCCCATAGATGTATCGTGAAGTAGTAATAATAATGGATATTATATTGTATTATAATATAATCTGCATGCAATTTTGTGCTATTTAAAAGCAGTGTGATATCCAAAGCCCGACATTATGAGACAGAAAAAAGAAAGCTATGGAATTTCAGAGGAATGTTAAAAATAAATGCAATTCTGATTTATAGCACAGATGTTTTTGTGCAGCAGGTGAGGTTGCATCAGATCAAGAGATAAATCTCTCTAAAGCTTGGACCAGAGGCCTAGCCAGAGAATTACACAGACCCTTGATTTTTTTCCCAGTATGAAGCTGCCTTAGATGCACAGGTAGGTCTTATCTTGGCCTGAATTGGAAAATGGTTTCCCTGCAAACTCGGACCTGTGAAACACCACTGGTCCTGCACTACAGAGCAAGTAATTGAAAACAAGTTTTATAAATCAGAATGTTGCGTGACTTTGTGCTGATGAACACCATCTCAAGCTGCTAAAACTTTGACAACATAACAATGTTCTTTATCACCTTGATACTTACTGTGTTCATGAGGTTTCCCTGAGGTAGCTAGAAGTAAACAAAGAAGGCATATTTTAATATTTTTGTAATTGTAATGCAGAATTTAATGCATTTATTAATAAAATTTTAGACATATAGAAGTTCAGTGAAATCTATGTTGAAATGCACAACATCGTCTTGCGCTTTCCACCCCAGACACCTAACTGGGAACACAGGCACCCTAAGTTAAGGAACACAGTTAAAGGAACACAGGCTCCCTAAATTCCTCATTTAGTCAAAGTTTGATACAAACACCCCTGGAAGCCTCTGCACCTCTTCCATGGGCTGAGTCATGCTCACTAAATGGTGTTCATACTTCAAACCTAGGGGAACTCTTGTTAGGTGCTCGTTTCAGTGCCAGAGACAGTGTAAGTTCAGACCATGAAATCCAATACTAGACAAAGCCAGACAAACAATTTTAGCTTGAGTGAGGCAACTGCACCTAGGGCAGTCTAAACATGAATCCCTGATTTTAGTGATACTCCAAGAAGCAGAAAGATATATTTGAACATGTTAATTAACTTAAATAGGGCACTTGTAAACAAAAGGATTTCAGTGCTGCAACTCCTAAACTTTCATTTCATTTTCCATGTTTTTTCCAGAAAAAAAAACCTAGATGAGATAAAACTGAAAACCAAGTTAATACTTTCCATGGATGCTAAGAAAACATTTCTCAGGTGAAGGGGGAGCTTAGGGAGCTATACCCAGTGCCATTATTGGTTCTAAAGAAGAAAGCTAAATGTCAAGACCAAGCCCCCCAGCTGAATTTTTCTTCTTGACTGTTGCAAGGCAGCTGTTGTTTTTAAGAGAAAAAAGGCTCTACCACCTGCATGCCCACTGCATGTGAAAGAGCATAATCCCACAGACAGATGCAGCAGTGCAGGGGATGAGCTGCCTTTGCAGCCCCAGCAACACAAGCAAAAAATCTGCTGCTGTGAGCTCCCAGACTTTGATTCACTGAGCTCCTGAACTCCCTAATTCCCACTCCTGATAAAAAGTAACTGCTGTGCAAGTGGGTTTGTGTTTTGCTTGTTTTCTCCACAGTATAAAATTGCTCCCATGTTATATCCAGTCTCTATTTAATCCAAGTTGTTGTTATGCATTTAAGAAGACAGCACCTGAAGATGATGTGCAGAGCAAAGTTAAGGAAAAAAACAAACAACAGAGCATTTTTGGGGCGTAATAGAGACCAAAGATACAAATTAAGCATATATGTCTGCTCCTAATGGGAGAATCAGAAATAATAAACAACAGAAAAACAAGTGTCCTATGACAAAGCCACATTTGTTGTCTTTATGTAGGTAAACATCATAAGCTGAGGCAAATTCTGCTGCAATTGAGTTTCCATGAAATATGTCTGAAAATAATAGAGAAAATTAATTTTTTATTGTGTCTAAAGACATATGCTCACCTAACCATGAATTTCAATTTGCAAAAGGAAATTTATGGCAAATATTTAAATAAAATCTGAACTTCAGGGGATGATATAATGGCTTACATAACTATTACAGAATATTGTATCACATGACACTTTCAGTGACCAACAAATATGATCAGACCTAGGCGGCATTTGAACAGTATTGTTTTAAAGACTCTTTACTGACACTGCTTAATGAATTTTACAAACAAGCTTTTGTAATAGCATCCTTATCTCAGATCTGCCTAAAAATCAAAACAAAGCCATTAATCCTTAACTTTCTAGTGAAGCCAGTGCAGTTATTTCCCTTTTATGCTGGTGAATATGAGTCACAGAGAATGTTTAAAAGAATAGAAACTCAGCTAAGGTCTAATCCCTCGAGTTTGTGAATGTGTCTCTGTTGTTCTTGTCCATATTTTCTGTAGAGGCATTAATAACACAAACTTGTATAGTGTTAGTATCAAGACAGAGATAGAACACTGAGATTGCTGCTATCTGCACTTTGCCTGAAAGTCCAAACTTCTTATTTCTGGCATAACATTCGGAGATATTTCTAGCAGATATTTTGATGAAGTAATGAAGGTCTTCTAAAGTTAAAAGTTTCTAGAGGATGTGTTGATGTTCTGCTGCTCTGGAAATCTCACTTCATGTAGTTTCTTGCAGTGAAAGTGCAAGCCAGCATTTGATGGTTTGGCCATCAGTAGAGGGAGCCTGTTGGGCTAAATGACCTCTTGGTCTCACTTCAGTTGTTCTGATGTCATTAAATAACAGGACTACCTGTTGGGTAACTAAGTGTTTATTGTTCACAATGTTAGAAAATTCAGCGCTAAGTAAGTATTTTGTCTTCATTTGTTTAACACTTAAACTATATTAGACGAGAAACAGGGTCAGATTTGGATCTAAAGAGAACAGTTGGATTATTGATGAAATACTTGAAGCTACATAAGATCTGAACTGGATCAGCGGAATTATCTGATTCTCCTCTCAGCAATATGTTTTTGAAATTTCTTTTCTACCATTCTAAATTAAACTTGGAAATCATGCTTCGTAGATATCTTGCTGTTTTTCCCATTCACTTAAAATTTTCTTTGACTCTTGTCTGCTATTCTGAAGGCCACAGGGGTATTAATTATATATGGCATATTTTTGTAAATTAGCTTCTGATATGGGTTCAGAAAAGAAATCCTGTGCTTTATTGAACCATAAATTGGTAAGACTAAAAGCAAAATGTGCTTTTTGACTATAACATGTCTGTTTTCCATCTGGGTAACAGTCATTTGCCAGTGAGACAGCAAATACATTTGTGAGTGTACAGACTCTGAAAGAAAAGATATGTCACAAAGGAAATGAAAGCAATGCCAGAACTATTTGTTTTAGTGAAGAATGACAGAATAACAATGCATGCTGTATCTGAGAAAAATAATTTCTAATTGAATAGTTACATGTGTATTATAAATAAGGAACTTACTTTCCATTAGACAAATCAAGAGCTTGGTTTATTTCTCATTAAAGAGAAAGCAGCCTTTAACAGGTTTTGGACCGGTCATTAGATGAACCCGCAGCACACCCATAAAGTTAATCTTTAACAACATTACAGGCCAAAAGAGAGATCAAAATCAACAGGAATCTTTTAACAGAGTTCTCATGATTTGAGAAGTATACCTTGCAATTTATACATCATGATGAAGGATAAATCTTTGATTTTCCTATTTGAGGGAAACATTTCCTATTTCAGGGAAAATGAACTCCAGATAAACCAAAAATTTGGCCTCTAGACAAGTTAATGGACATTCCTCCTTCAAAATTTAAGTTTCAAGAACTTAAGAGGCCACATCACTCTGCCTAATCACCAATAGGGTTTTAATTTAAGGTTGAACAAAACAGTTTTGTTCTAGTAACTGCAAGGCTTTTAAGACTGTGAAGGAATTGTATTAAAAAGAAGTCAAAGAGAATAAAATATATTTCTTACATTGAGCTAGTTCAAAATGACTCAGAGGATAATAAGTTCAGAAGAAAAGAAGAGATTATTAGCATTTATCACTCTGTTAAGGAGCAGTTCCTTGTCTTTTCGAAATTATTGTCTGTACTCTTTGTCATTCAAAGGAGAAGTCAGATGATCCCTCAATTTTCTAGATCAGCAGACCTGATCTCTCATATCTGCCTGTGTCCTACTCAAGTCCTGCTGGCTATCTGAGCAGCTGGCAGACCGATTTTGTAGAAAAAACAGTCTAATGAGCATATGCCTAAAAAAATGACTCATAAAGCAGATTAGCTGCAGCAAGATTCCTAAAAAGAGAATGGCTTGTTTTCAGCCTGACCTCTGTTCTACATTAAAAAATTACCTTGATTTTGTATGGCCAGTAGTTACCCTATGGCTGAGTCAAAGTAAAGAAAGCAGGAAGTTTGTGGTGGTAGCATAAATAAAGAAAGCTGATAAATGATTAAATTACAGTCCATGCCTGCCGTGTAAGCCTTGTACTTACAGAATCCCTTAATTCCCTATATCATTCGTTTTAAATTTCTGGTTTACTTTAGACCTAGAATTTTCCAGAATATTTGTCTACACAATAAGAAAGTATTATCCCTCATTAACACGACCTGAATGAAATACTAAATGATTAAGGCTTTCTGGAAGGTTTGAAGAGAAGTAGAGAGCTTGAGCTTCCAGCTGTGTTCTCACTCTTATTCATGGTCAGGGAGTGCTCATTTGAGTCTGTGCAGCTCCACAGACTTCCTCAGACCAATGTTTCGGCAGTGGCTGAAGGATGATAATAGGGTAAATGATTAACACAAATCCTCCTAAAATTCCATGCTTTGCTCTTATCATCAATAGTTAATCACTGGTATTAGAGCCTGTAGGGTATTCACTTGCAACAGACTGATCATATTGCCTCTTTCCACCAAAAAAAATATGTCAGGCTGCTCTCACAGTTCTTTCTCAGAGTTATTTCCAGTACCAGAGCAGCCTGGCCCAAGATATCTATCTGCTTTCATACAGTTAGCATGTTTGTGTCCTTGCTGTTTGGTTTGCTTTATACCTTGGGGCTGCATAGTGAAAAATGAGCTGACACTTGGTTTTGGGGGATTTTGATGTTGTTGTCTGGAGCAACTTGTTTTTTAAGACTTATTTTTAACTGGCAGGTCAAGAGTACTTTATATAACTAGGAAAATAAAAAAGTAGTTCAGACAGAGGAGGGGAGAAACTTTAGCATGGTGGAAATATAGTAAAAGTAGCAAAGAAGTACAGACATTTCCAACATTTTTAAATGCTTTTTAATGAGAGGAATTGCTTCAACTTCAATCTGAGATGCATGCCTTCAGGGATCATCAGTAATGATCCCAATCTTTGTCTGTTTCCCAGTTTGTCACTTAAACAATAGAAATGCACTGGGAAATGTAAGTCTTGTTGAAACAGCAATCTTGCATGGTAGCACTGAAAGCTTATGTATTTAAAGTACTATAAGTCTTAAAATCCCAGCAAGAAAAATCTTCTATCGACGGAGCTGGAAAGAATAAAATTTCAGTCAAATGAAGATGAGGTGCATCTGCTGCATTAATGCATTTCATCTTTAGGCACGTGTGGTGAAAGACC